AAGAGCTCTATGGAAATGCAATTAAGGAATCACAAGGTTCCATAGCTAGGTTTAGGCAGGGACTGTCCCACCCGCTGTTCACTGAGTAAGAATGAGTGACGCCAGCATTCTACAAACTTGAACTATCCTCACCTGAAAGGCAGCTAGCTCCTCAGTCAGAGCAAACACAAACCCAATGCCTTGTGTTTYCTTTAAGATGGATAAATCTGTTCCCATCTTAATGATAGGTCCCTAGGCTCTCCACGCCAATGCGCTCTGTGCTAGAGCTAACATCCCCAGGCCTATTTCTAGAAATGAGTTTTAGGTCTCTTGTTGAGTGCTCCCTCAGCCCATCTCTCTGGACTTGAGATGGCTTCCATTCAAAAACACATCCTTTCAGCCTCTTCCATTCCACCCCCCACAACCCTGGTGATAATGCATAATAAACCATGGCTTTGTGATCCACTAACAACGTAAAAAGACGTACTCAAGGAACTGTCAGGAAGCACCAACTCAAACCCCACTGCTGATAAATTCATGATAGAAGCTCCACTGGGAAACAATATATTTATGGACAGTAGTCTGAAAAGAGTGCCGCACACCTCATTATCTAGGTGATCTAAACCAGATCCTTCAGCAATCTCTAGATCTAAACACATGGATCCCATTATTTTGCCACACAAAACTGCTCTCACTGAATTACATTTTGATATCATGTCACCAACACGGACAATGAGGTAAAGCAGAGTTTACTAAAATGCAACACAGCCCTTGGGGACACGGGCTACATTGCTGAGGATGTAGCTGAGGAGTTTCCGGGCTATTATCCTTTGGGAACCTGAAGGAGAAATGGGCATCTCTTCCCTCTTGGTCACTGAACCACTTAATGACTGTTTCTCTGTGAASTGTTATTAGGAAGCAGGGTTTCAGTCCCAGTACCTTGGATGTAGAGCTCACTCCCCACTCCACCATACCTTCCCCTCAGCCTTGAATGTATCACCCTGCTGTCTATCCATCACCAACAGTATGCTGTACATACCCTTGTAGTMATTCTGAATCCTTTCTGGAACAAGATGTTGTAGAAGTGATAGAAAAATTACAGCACAAGAAGACATTGTTTTCTATCAATAAACATTTTATGAGTTCTAAAGGCATTTTTAAAATGTGCTCCAAAGTGCTTTATAAAGGAAAGAAAACTACTTTAGCAAATGTTATGTCTAAAATTAGAAAATGAACAACTATTATAAACTACAAAAATAAAAACTTTCACATTATGCCTTTTTTTAAATGATGGTGAAATGTGATGGACATCATTATCCAAAGTACACGTATGAAGACACAAATTAGTGTGAMTATACTTTGTATAAAACCAGAAAAATAAATAAATAAATAAAACATGGTGTCATTTTTTAATACCTTTGTTTGTTTGTTTATTTATTTTTATGTGGTGCAGGGAATTGAACCCAGTGCCTCAAGTGTGCTAGGTAAGCACTCTACCACTGAGTCACAACCCCAGCCCTCACATTAGGCATTTTAACTTAATACACAAAAAACTGTAGCTACATCCTTACGTAAAAATGCCCCCAAAACCATTCTTAACTTTTAAATAGACAAAAATCATCATAAATGTAATTAAAATTGAGTACTTATTTTGAATGAGAATGGAACAAGCTAGCTTCAAATGTGGTTCATAAACCTGGCGTGGTGGTATATGCCTGTAATCCCATATGCTCAAGAGGCTGAGGCAGGAGGTACACAAGGTCAAAGCCAGTCTCAACAATTTACTGAGGCCCTAAGCAACACAGTGAGACCCTTCCTCAAAACAAAAAATAAAAAGGACTGATGATGTGGCTCAGTGGTTAAGCATCCCCAGGGGTTCAATCCCTGGTACCAATTTAAAAGAAAAAAAGAAGTGGTTTATAAAGCTGGGTGCTGCAGCATTTCCTGTAATCCCAGCTATTCAGGAGGCTAAGGCAGGAAAATCACAAGTTTAAGGTCAGCCTGGGCAACAGAATGATACCTTGTCACACACAAAAAAAAATAAGTAAATAAGATATTTTTTAGTTGTAGATAGACACAATACCTTTATTTTTGTATGGTGCTGAGGATCAAACCCAGTGCCTTACACATGCTAGGCCAGAGCTCTACCACTGAGCTATACAACCCTATCCCTCACAAAGTGTTTGTACAATTTCTTCTGCTTTACCTATACCTAGCACAGAGGATGCTACACCCTTAGTGAGTGAGGCAGCACAAAATTTAGAGTCCAGGCTCAGGGATTCAACAATCTCCTTACAGCCGTTTGGAGTAAATTTTAAAAAGCTTAAGATGCAGAGCTGGAGATGCAGCTCAGAGGTAGAGCACTTGTGTAGTATTTGAAAGACCCTGAGTTCCATCCCCAGTTCCATACACACACACACACCTTTTTTTTTAAAGAAAAAAATGCAAGATTCCTTCAGTATGTAATATTTTATGTATTCATGAATGTACATATGCTTATCATTCTGATTAAAACTCCTGACCTTTAGCTACAAGTTATTAGTTGATCATAATCATGGTCACTGGTCCTCCTAGTGACCACAAATGAGCGAACTGTGCTACCAGAAATAAGTAAAAAGTGTTCTATTATAAAGTTACTTTGGCAGTAACTTCATCGTCATCGAAAACAGGAATCTCACGGGGCATGGTGGCACATGCCTATAATCCYAGCAGCTTGGGAGGTTAAGGCAGGAGGATTGTGAGTTCAAGCCAGCCTCAGAATTCAGTGAAGCCCTAAGCAACTTAGTGAGACCCTGTCTCTAAATAAAATATTTAAAAAGGATCAGGGATGTGGTTCAGTGACTAAGTGCCCTTGAGTTCAATCCCAGATATCAAAACCAACCAACCAGGAATCTCACAGAGAAGGTGAAACAGCATCATAAAAGTACAAGCCTTTTTTAAAAAAGCATTTTAGGAGCTTTGTCCAAACTTCAAACAAAACACTAGTTAAATAATATTCTGAGGGATAAAGACAGGTCAGCTCTTGTTGCTTCTCATATTTAACAGCGGTCTAGATTATTCAGGGTGTTTCAGCCATGTGAAATACCACATAATTTTCTGAAGTGCCTTATGATACAGATGAGCATCTAATAAGACATGCAAAATGCTTGGTCTCCACCGTGAAAGCCTTGTTTTTTGTGTGACAACTTTATTGACCATCTAAAAACCACTTAGTAGCATTTGTACTCTGAGTCACCAGTGTTAGGTTACATAGGTAGCTCCCCTACATCCTAGGAATGGATCATCTCTGCTGGAGATGCTTATTTTACAGCCAATAAAAACACATGTGCCAGAAATTAAACTCACACAGTGAAGACTGCAATTCTACGTCTCTAGCCAAAGACTGACATACATAAATGAAGATAGGATCTTAGCTCTTCATATTGATTGAAAACTTTTCTCATATCTGTAATTCCAACTACCTAGGAAGCTGAAGCAGGAATATCACAAGCTGGAAACTAGACTGGGCAACTGAATATAACTAAGTGGTAGAGCACTTGCAAGCCAAGCCCTGGATCTGATCCCCAGGACCATCTCTCTCTCTCCTTCTCTCCCTACCCTGTGCCCCTTGTCCCTCTCCCTCCCTCACTCTTTCTCTCCATCTCCCTCCATCTTCATCTTTCCCCCATCTCCCTCTTTTCCCCCCCATCTCCCTCTCTCCCTCCCTCTCCCTCCTTTCATCCATCTCCCCCTCCCTCCTTCCCTCTCTCCGCCTTCCATCTCCCTCTCCCTGTCTCCCTCTTTCTCTGTCTCCCCCTCCCTCTCCATTTCTCTCCCTCCCCCTCCCTTTCCTCTCTCCATCTCTTTCCTCTCTCCATCTCCCTCACTCTCCCTCTTCCTCTCTCCCTTTCTCTCCCTCCCTCTCTCCATCTCTTTCCCTCTCCCTCCCTCCCCCCATCTCCCTTTCCTCTCCATCTCCTTTCTCCATCTCTCTCCCTCCCTCCCTCTCTCCTTCTCTCTACCCCTCTCCCTCTCTCCATCTCCCTCTGTCCCCCCTCTCCATCTCTCTCCCTATCCATCTCTCTCTGT